CCCCACCTAATTAGGGCAACATAGGGAAATGGTACTCGACACACTTGTGCGTCGGCGCCTTTCCCTGTGTTGTTCCTGTTCTAGTCTTCTCTACCCGGGCGGTCTAAGACTAAAGTCCCGCTCCCTAACTACTGCACGTAATTATTTTCGTCTAAGTATTCAGTAACTCTAGAGAGCTAGGTAGTCAGACACACACATGTACACACACATGTACATACATCCCCTCCCTGCCCCCCCACTTTTCTTCTTGCGCTTTCCGTCGTTTGTTGGGCTTTCTCTCAGGCTTTTTAGGTTGTTCTTCAGGCTCGTTTCCCTACCCCAGTCAAGGGCTAAGTATTCACTTTTTCTACACCTATCTTTCTTTCTTGCCCTCTTAGCGCTGCTCTTTCTGTCTTTCCTTTCTTTTGTTTCTAAGGCTTTTTAGGTGACTATCTTACGTTTTATGCCAGAGAGCCGCAAAGCGGCGGAGTGTGTCACACTCTGTACCTACGAATTTTCCTTATTTGATTCCAGCAGAGGCGCCGATCACGGCGATCTGTGTGTGTCAACCCCTGGGCCAAGGGTTCACCACTACCACAATTTTACACGCAGGGGCACACGGCATCCATGACCTACCGTGTGCAACGAAGCTGCGGTCATGGATGGGAAGGGAAGGCTGATCACCTTCCTATACCTGCTTTCAACACACTGACTCCAATGGTCCACCCTGTTTGTTGTTTTCATGGTTCTTTTTCATGCTACCTTCCCCATAAACAGGTTTCTCTCAGCAGCCGTCCGCAGCCTTGCGCCGCACCGACCGAGTGACTGATCGTCTCTGCAGACTTAAACAACTTTTTTCAAACACCTACAAGTTTTCGGACCTTTCACAATGCGGTTCTGTCACCTTCCTTCTCAACTTCAGAACTGAGTTAACTGAATACAATTGTCAGAGTGTGTGTCAACCCCTGTACCTAAGGGTTCCACCTTGTTTTTAGTTTTGAATGCTTCTTCAGCAGGGGCGTGTGACACTCTTATCCTATCACACGCAACGAAGCTGTGGATAAGAGTGGGAAGGGAAACTTGGCCAGTTTCCTGCACCTGCAACGCAACCGTTGATCACGCTGTGACTCCAATCTTTCCTTGTTTGATTCCATGGTCCTTGCACGATAGACCCCAAAACCTTCTCCCACCGCAGACTTGCAGCAGACTTGCAACCACACTGACTGTCAGAGTGCAAGCATTGTTCAACCATACAGTTCTTGCCGACCTTTTCACCATGCCGTTCCCTCACCTTCCTTCTCAACGTGGGAATTGAGTTAACAGCAAACCAATGTCAGAGTGTGAACCGCTCAGCCGTCCCACTTGGGTGCTGGGTGTGATCCTCCGCAAGGAGGCGCTGCAATCATTCCGGAATTCGTGTCACTGATTCGTCGTTTCCACCACTCGTTGGATTTTCTTAGCTGACTTTGTTTCACTACTGAATTGTCTGAACAAGGAGCCGCCGGGCTTTTACGGTGAACAACCATAGCCGCTGGGCTAAAAAACGGAATTCAACCCACTTGAAGCAGGTTTCCCAACCCCCCCCCACCGAGTTCTACTCCCTACCTAATTAGGGAAACAGAGGGAAATGGTACTCGGCACACTTGTGCGTCGGCGCCTTTCCCTCTGTTGTCCCTTTTCTAGTCTTCTCTACCCGGGCGGTCTAAGACTAAAGTCCCGCTCCCTAACTACTGCACGTAATTCGCTTCTGCTAAGTAGTCAGTAACTCTAGAGTGCTAAGTTAAGTATTCATACACACACACGGACACACACATGTACATACACCTCCCTGCCCCCCCCACTTTCCTTCTTGCTCTTTTGGTCGCTTTTTGGGCTTTCTCTCAGGCCTTTTAGGTTGCTCTTGAGGCTCGCTTCCCTACCCCAGTCAAGGGCTAAGTATTCACTTTTTTCTACACCTACCTTTCTCTCTTGCCCTCTTAGCGCTGCTCTTTCTGTGTTTCTTTCTTTTGTTTCTAAGGCTTTTTTAGGTAGCTATTCAGGTTCTTCGCACGAGCGCCGCAAAGCGGCACCGTGTGTGTGTCAACCCCTGTACCTAAGGGCTCCACCTTGTTTTTAGTTTTGAATGCTTCTTCAGCAGGGGCGTGTGACACTCTTATCCTATCACACGCATCGAAGCTGTGGACAAGAGTGGGAAGGGAAACTTGGCCAGTTTCCTGTACCTGCAACGCAACCGTTGATCACGCTGTGACTCCAATCTTTCCTTGTTTGATTCCATGGTCCTTGCATGATAGACCCCAAAACCTTTTCCCACCACAGACTTGCAGCAGACTTGCAACCACACTGACTGTCAGAGTGCAAACATTGTTCAACCATACAGTTCTTGCCGACCTTTTCGCCACGCCGTTCCCTCACCTTCCTTCTCAACGTGGGAATTGAGTTAACAGCAAACCAATGTCAGAGTGTCTCCAAGGAGCGCGACCACGTTCATTCCTTAACCCCTCTAGGCTTTCAAGCTGTACAGTCAAGCAGGAGGCCGGGGAGCCAGGTGGGGGGTCTCTGGCCAACGGAGACACCCCCCACCTGGGTGTAAACGTACCTGCGCATGTTCCTTTAACTCTTAAATCAAGTGATGTAAACAGTTCTATTTTTCGGACATACTTATTCACCTTGCCGTTCCCTCTCAGGGCTGTTTCTCAGGTCTCAGGTTGCCCAGCGCTCTAAGCCGGTGATGTAATCACTAGAGTGGAACTTCCAAACTAAATTTAGCTCTTGCGAGCATGGATCTAAGTGTGTGCGCTGTAACCTCTGAAATCCTTTTTTGGAAATTCCTCGATGTGTTACGGTATTGGAAAATAATGAGCTAGCTTTGGTTGAAGAATTTGGTTCGTTTTCAATGAGAAGCAACTCCTTTGGACAAAGAAACACAACTAGAAACAAGTGAATCTGTAAAAAAAATTGTTCCCTTAGCTCCTCCAGGGTGGAGAGGAGGCAAACGGAGAAAGCCAAGAAACACTGCCCCTCTTCCCACAAGTCCCAGTGTGGCCCAGCTGTCGGTGCTCATGGAGATTGAAGTGGCGAAAACTCCTTCGCAATGAAGATAGAAGAAGAGTAGTAGCTTCTAGCTACTAATCAAGAATCCTTGTTTAACAAAACACATTTTCACAAAATCAAATCTTTTTAGGTGCACAAAGACACGCGCACACAACGTCCTTTTCTGCTGTTCCAAAACCTCCAAGGTCAACCAACAACATTCAATCAAAGTGAAGTTTTTGAGTTGGAAGAAGAAAGAAAGAACTGAACGTTGAAGAGAGGAAATTACATAAATTGAAGTTTGAAGTGGAACGAAGGGGAAATAATTGTTGAGCTGCTTGAAAACCGTGGACATGACTCTAGGGAAGTTCAAGCAAAGGTTGTCAATTCGATGTTGAATTCAGCAGGAAGGAAGTCCAAATAGCAGGAAGGGAATTACCATCCGATTGGAAAAAAAGGCAACACAATATCTTTAAACTTCCAGTGGCAAAAGTGGCGTCCACTACTCTTTGCTTGCAAATTGCATTCAAGCTGTTCAGTTGTTTGAGCACTTTTTGGTGAAGGTGTCCTTTCAATATGTTTGGGATTTAGCCAGGAGGAAGAGAATGGAGAAAACAAGAAGAAGAGATAAACAATATGTTCACCCAAAAATGTCAATGGATAAGAAATACACAAGAGTTTTAGAAGAATCAGCAGCGCAGGTGGCCGGCATGATTCAGCATGTCTCCCCTGAAGAACATGTCCTAGTCTCCCAGAGTAGGCCTGAAGTTCCCTTTTTCATAACGATAAATACTCTCAACTTGTACAATTAAGTGTTGTATAGTCCTATTGGAGCTTCGCTTCTGCGGATTTGCTTAATTTCAAGAGACGTCCAGAATAACCCTCATTTGGGGCTAAGTTCCGGTCACCGATTGGTTTAGACCATACCACACTGGTGGATCCTCACACCATCCCAAACAGGCCTCACCATCCTGGCAATGTGCCAAGCATTGAGGTGCTTGAATGAGCTCAACTGTGACTCCAGGGCCCAAAAGCGCACTGAAGCCTCGTGTCTCCGCTGCAATCAAGCAGCAGCTATATTAACAAGCAGAGAAAGTTAAACACCCGGCCATGAAGGAAGAAAGGTCTGAAGAACGAAGGGAATAAACATAGCAAAGATAGTGGAAAGGTCTGAAGGAAGAAACAAAAAGAAGTTCAAACAAAGAATTATACAAGCATAGACCCCAAGCAGCTTCAAAACGATTCGCTTTGACCAATATTAGTCAAAAATCGACTTCTTGGGATGCCCTACCTTCACCCCAAGAGCAAACTGCTTCATCAATGAATTTTTGTCGGCATTGACATCGCTATTTGTTCGGCCACACTCCTCTCCAGTAAGCCGGACCACAGAGTTCAGGGGCGCGGCAAAGACAAGGACAAGAGGAGGACAAGGCTTGGACACAGAGCCCAGCCACGGAGCCCAGCCACAGAGCCCAGCCACAGAGTTCAGGGGTGCGGCCAGTGAGTGTGGCCAGCTCTTTTGTTTCTAAGATAGAACCCCAACAGTAAACTGTTTGGGGAAAAAAATTGAAAACAGGTGAAATAAAGTAATATAATATAGGTTGGAGGCCATCGTTAGTAGGTTGGAGGTCATCGCTATTAGAAACAACTAAATAACAAAAATAATTGTCTAAAGGAAGAAAGGTGTAATATAGTTGGTAATAATTACACCTTGCGTCCTTTTCATTTTTCTTTGCTTCTAATAGCGATGGCCTCCAACCTAAATACTCGAAAGGTCTGAAGATGTAAAAAAAGGTGGTAAGACATAAGGACCAATGCCACACAGTAGCCACCGATGCAGTCAGACTTACCCTAGGCCCTAGGCTCTCGTTGAATCTTCTTTAAATGGGAGTGCAAAGTTGCACTAAAAGCGGCTCAAAAAAAAGATTCTGTTTTAAAAAAGAAAACAATAAAAGCGGCTCCTGCGTCTCAAGACGACCATCGTTCTTCATACGAAGCACAGCACTTCTTTCAAGTCCGAAGGGCGAAGCTGCAGCTCCTCTCGACGTATTTGGTCTTTCTCCTTAGGGAGACAAACTGACGCGGATGTTGGAAACCAAACTAGCCGAGCCTAAAGCAAGCAAGGACGTTCGCCGCTCCACTGTTAGAAGGACTTCAACTGGATGGTTGAGTTGTTTGAGGGATTGGTAGATGTAGGCAATGGTTTTCTGGTGGTCTAGAAAACAGATTCAAATAAAACGTGCAAGTTCTGCCAGCTGTGTCTCGTACTGTGGGCTGTCAAAGAATACCTTCATTCTCACGCTGTCTCGGGATGGAATCGATGCGGAATTCACCTGGACGGAATCGCCAGAGAGAAAGTTCGCAGTAGAAGCGTCTTCAGCATCCTTCCGAGCTAAAGATGCTAAGAGGTAGGTTGAGTCGACCTAAGGAATTTTACAGGAAGGCTTTGAAATCCTTCAGTTTCTTGTTTTGAATTTGATAACCACGATCTTGCATGCAGAAAGTGTGTCACATCAAAGGCGACCGCCGATGATCGCCTTCTTCAAATGGCTTCTAAAGTCGTTGTCAGCCAATGCCCTGGTGATCCATGTATGTTGTTAGACACCTGCGTCTTGAGGCATCATAAAAATTGCAGAAGTTGATTTTCAGAGGGAAACATTGCAGAAACTTGCAAATGTCCAAAAAAAGGTACTTGCCTTCAATTCCTAGAGCACCTGGGTTTTCCCCCCCTCCACATTAAAGAAGCTGGATGTTGATAAATTGTTACATTCTCTTTCACGTCAACAGAATGGTCGATTGGTTGTTATCATTCGACCTAGATTGGCTGTTCGTTTGAGATCAGGGATCGCTGCATTGCACAGCATTCCCGGCAATCAAAGCGATGTTTCTTAAAGAATGTCGCCTTCAGTTGAGACATGTTCAGACATGTTCATGGCCCCGCCTAAGGTGACATGTCACCTCCCACGAGTTCTAGAACCCAGTCAGTTTAGGGCAGTCAAGGTCGTGGAAGTGGAGGCCATCGCAGCTAGTAGCAATACACTTGTTACTAGTAGCTTCTTGTTCCTAGTAGTAAGGCCAGGAGCCCCTAGTGGCGTCCTTGTTCCTAGTAGCAATGCCCTTTGCTCCTAGGAGCGTCCTTGTTCCTACCCCCCCCCCGCGCGCGCGAAAAGGTCCTAGTAGATTCCTTTGCTACTAATTTTTACTCCAATTAAACTTAATTCTAATTGAATTTGCTTCTATTCTAATTCTTGTTACTAGTAGTAAGGCCCTTGTTCCTAGTAGTAAGGCCAGGAGCCCCTAGTAGCGTCCTTGTTCCTAGTAATGCCCTAGTAGGTATTCGGCCTTGGTCTCTGGAGTCTCCGCAGTCTCCTCTTCACAGCTTTGGCAGAACTGGCGGGCACCGAGCCAAGCTTTGGAGGATAATGATACCCAAAAAAGGAAGTAGATGGATTTCCCTTTCTAAGCAAGGTTTATCGTTCTATTCTGCTTTGGAGTAGTGATAAGTCTAACCATTTGCATGAGAATTAATATTGGGAACGTGCAAACTAGCTGGCACTACATGATATTACAGGTGGCTCTTGGTGTCCGTTCTCCCAGTATTCAGCTTTTCGAGCCAATTTGGTTCACCACTTCACACCTGCTCAAACGTCTGATTCAAACCTCTCCCTTGCGGCTTGCGGCTGACTCAACTGCCAATGTGAGCCTTTCCAACCTTTCGGATGAACTTGCTCGTGCCCTTCAATTGCAGGGCCAACACACGGGAACCACTATAGGGGGGTACAAAAAATTTAGCACTTGTATTCATGCTGCTATCCTGGCCTGGGGAAGGCAGCAACGCTTCCGGCAGTGGAGGGACATGTATTCTTCCATACCAGTAGCTCCTTTGCCTGGACAGTAGTCCTCCTCGGATCGCTGCTTTAAATGTCGGTGTGCGAAAGCCGAAGAATTGTTCCAGTGAAGCTACTGGCCCTGTCCTCTTGTACCACACTTGCAACAACTTTGGCACAAGCTTGGAACTCTGGAGAGTAATATAATATGTTTTTTCTAGGAGCAAGAAGCTACTAGGAGTAAAGGGCATCGCTACTAGTAGCAAGGACGCTACTAGGGGCTCCTGGCCTTACCACTAGGAGCAAGGACGCTATTAGGTTAGAGACCATCGCTATATATTCAACATCATTCCAAGGTAGAGCACTACATCCGGTGTGCCAAAAACTTGGGCCATAAAAAACAAAGGCGACATCACTTCAGAAAACAAAAATCAAAAGCAGTTGCTCTTGCACATCTTGCACCACCTGGAACTTTGAAGCGGAGCTCTGACAATAAACGGTGAACTAACTAATAATATTCTACATGTAATTGCTGATGGTTCAGTCGTTAAGTCCTCCAAGCTCCTTCATCCAAGGCACCAGGGATTTGCAAACGTTTTCCTCCGTGTCTTGGCAGCCCTCAACAGCGTTGACCGTTGAAATCTCTGGACAGGTGCCACAGGTCTGCGCGCCTCAGGTTGCTCGATTTCAGGGACTCAATGTTCGAGCACGGATCGTTCTACAGTGATCTGGACGTCATGAACAAAGGACCTTTCTTTTTTCTGTGTAGCAATGGCAATGGCCTCCAACCTAGAAGCAAACTACATAAAGGAGAATTCTGCGTATCATCACACACTTTGCATTTTGTGGGCCACCCACAGACAAAGCTCCACAACTCCCCACTCTACTTTATAAAAAACATTTCTTCGAATGGAGGCTAAGGAGAAAGTTTTGACATCCGTCACATCATGGGTTTGTTTTTGTGTCCTTGCTATACCTGGGACACTTGGGGGTCCTTGACACAAACGAGGCACAAAAATATCGGATGCTTTCACCGTAGTCCGAATCCTCGCAGAAGTCCTGGACGCAACACAAATGCAGGTTCACGTGTCATTCGTCATTTCAGTTTTTTTGGGCGTCACTATATAGTAGTTACCCTGAGTCTTTCCACTATATGGGCTGATATCGATTTTGTGAAGAAGGTTTTGGACAGGAAAGGAAACGACATGCAGCCTACAAACCCTAATGCACACACGTGTCACACGTTCGCAAACACAAACAGCAAAACCTTGTTCGACACTTTTACTGTACCCACTTGACACTCCTGTGGGACACTCCTGCAAGCCACTCGTGTCAAGCCCTCAAAACGAGAATTTCACACGTCACTCCCTCCAAAAGTGACAAGACAAGCCTTAAAAAGGGCTCCTGGCATCGCTACTAGGAGCAAGAAGCTACTAGGGAGTCACGCGTCACGTCTCCAAAACAAACGTTTCGCACGAGAACTCCTCCACTATGGAAGTCGCATCAGAGCGAACACATCACGCACCCCTGCCAAGGAGCTTCGCAGCCCAAACCCTTCGAAAGAGCAGCTGCGGACACGCCAATCCCAATGGAGACACCTCAAAACCTCAAAAGCAAACACCTCACTACAAGACCTACCGACATAAAGCTTTTGGTTCCGACATTTTTTGGACGGATCTCATCTCAAAAAGACTGGAGCCGTGAATGCACCAATCATAATGGCATGCTGAGCTCAAATCATCCTGCGCTGCAAAATCATCCTTCACACTTGGACATGTTACGTTTGCACGCTACTAGTAACAAGTGCATCGCTACTAGTAACAAGTGCATCGCTA